GCGAAGAAATCTGACCGCCATGTGGATCTGCAACTCTGGAGCAAGATAGCAAGGCGGAAAATCCAGTTCCAAAGCCTTCTCCAAGATGAGGTCCCATCGAAGGCTATCGTAGAACCCCTTCACATCCCAGAGCAGACTGCCACTATGAAAGTCGGGGAAGCTGGAGTTCGCAGCCTCCTCGTCTCGAAAAAGGCGCAACAACGCTACCTGCAGGGCTGAGGAGCCCGCCAGCGCCGTGCCCCACGTGCCAGCAGTAGCCCTCGTCCAGGCAGCTCTATCATCGTTCCTCAGCCTGCCCCAGAACCTAACAAGCCACGCGAGCAGGCCAACCGCACGATCCGCTTCCAAGTCCTTGACTTGGAGGGTGACAAGAATGACCAAGACCTGCCAAGGCCAGCAACACTCCCTTTCAACTTGAGTTAGAATAACTGCCGGACCCTGCAGGCCCGCCCTGGGCAGCCAGACGAAGTCCTTCCTCGTCATCTGGTCTACCCCTGGCGCGCGGTCTGGCAGGGCAGAAATGAGTCGGGAAAGCTGCTCTACAGTGATCGGCCTGGGCTCGAGTGCCTTAGCTCTGGACCGGGCTTTCTTCCAAAGCTCGAACACTCTCTCGAATGTGGAAGGATCTCCCTTCCACTTGAGACTCCGCACTCTGGCCCTGGCCTTCATGCGTGCGCAAGAATCTAGAGCTGGATCTCCCCACGCTCTCATCTCGCCTACAAAAACTGCTGTGTCCTTGAGCCTGTTATACAATCCTCGACCACCTAACTGGTCTTGCTGAAGGACCCACTGGTGGAACTTGCCTAGACTGGCGTGGAGGACTGACCTCTGGGCTCTCACCGAATTCGAGTAGGCCTGCCTACTGAGGTCCCTGATGGAGTCATCTGTGAGCTCCCAAATCACCCTAAGACTTCGGCACCACTTGGTACGCACAGGAGGGGAGAGAGGCATGAGAGGGGAGACGGGAACAGAGACAGACATGTCCCTCAAGCGCTCGCCTAACCTACAGGCCTTGCTAGATCCCCTCTTGTCCAGGAGGCCCACAAGATCCGCCAACAAGAAATCTATCGTGGCCCACCAGTGCGCAACAGGGTCCCTAGACGACACAAAGTGGGCTCCTTGGGCCTCAGGTCTCTTAGTGAGCTCTCCCAGGGAACCTCTCCCTCGATACTTCTTTTGATCACTCGGATGAACCTCCAACATTGTGCAAAAGAACGACTCGAACTTGACTGTCCAACCCTCGAATGCCTTGCCCACCGAGAGCGACGCTGCGGGATCCAACCGGAACGCCTTCGAATCCACGATGTACTTCGGTGGTGTGCAGTACGACCGACTGGCCGCCAGAGTGTGCCAGAGCCTGTCTTGGGCTTCTGGCGCGGTCTCGAGGAGCAGCTGCGACGTGCTCGCTCCCTGAGCTGCGGGAGGGGCGGGGTCTGCAGGGCCTCCTGCACCCGTCGCCTCACCTCCTGGGGGGGCGGGGTCTGCTGGATCCCCAGCACCCATCGCCGCGCCCCCTGCGCCATCGGCGCCGCCCTCGCCGAACTGCCCGTCGTCCTCGCCAGCTGACTCGCCGTCGTCCTCCTGCTGAGGGTCCTCCTCGGACTCCAGGCCCCAGTCATGCGCTCCCAAGTACTGCAGGGGAGGCGGCATCTTGAACCTGATCTGACGAGGCGCCCTTATCGGGGGGAGTGGTAGTTCTGGCTCAGCGGCGGCCTCGGCAAGCTGGCGAAGGAGACGCTGCCGAGACCTCTCACTGTTCGGATCTGCTTGCTTCTTGGGCCTCGGTGGGTAGTGAAATCTCTGCAGCGTACTGAGTACCCATCGCTGAGCCTTCTCTAACCTCAACTGCAGCCTCGTCAAGATGCCGAAATGCGACTTCCCCGCTCCAAAGCACGCCTCATCGTCCACCGTCATAGAACAGACGAACCGAACCATCGAGCGCGACAGGACCGCATAATCAATCATCCTCTTCTGGCCAGCCGTACACGTGTATTCTGATCCTGACGGGACGCGAATCAACCCATCCACAAGTGACGGCCAGCCTGACTTCTGCAGTTCGATCGGAGTAGCATTGAAGTCACCGGTGACCAACCAAGGCGTCTTGATAGATTGCAGTAGAGTGTCCAACTGAATCAACTTTGTCACACTCATACCAGCGATGCCTACCTCGGATATCAAATAATTACAGAAGATCGCGATAGACTGACCACCAATCTTGAGATGACAACCCACTACGTCTTTGAAATCAATCCCTGACATTGTGGTCTCTGGCTCCTGAATCTGACGGAGCCCCATCTGCATTTGTCTGTCGTTCGCATAATGACGAAAACTCTGAAACTGAAATCGTTTCTGGCTCCCACGGGAATCCCACCAGCTGTGGTCGTCGACTTCAGCTGGTAAGATGGCGCCACAACTGGTTGATAACCTCTGTAACTCCAGTCATGGAGCACTTCCGTACACATATCTGGTAACACGTGCAGCTCGGGCAGGATGACTATGTCGTACTGGCCCTCAGCTAGAAGGCATTTCGAAGAGTGTCCCCAGCCCGAGAGGTTCCTCATGTACAACGTGTGCTCGTCACCCTTGCGACATCTCCCCCTCCGCCTTCTGCTCATCACGCAGGTTGCGGACAAGAGCGTCGACCTCACCTTGCAGGCGGTCTGTCGCGGCCTTAAGCTGCTGGTCGTCCACAGGAGCCGCCGCGGCGCGAGGGGCGGGGTCTGCTGCCGTGCCTCGGCCAGCACCCGTCGCCGCGCTTCGCGCTGACGCCTCAGGGGCAGCGTCAGCACCTCCACGGGGTGCACGGCTCGCGGGGTCGGCCGTGTCCTGAGCTTCTCCCTGGTTGCCCTTCCTCTTCTTGCGGGCTCTCTCAAGGACTGCTGACACCTTGGCCTTCTGATCCTGCAACTGCGCGTTGATCTGGCCGCATGAGTCCTGTACCGCCTTACGCAACAAAACCTGAAGCTCACCCTTGGTCTTCTCCAGGATGTCATGGTCAGACTTCGTGAGGCCCAACCCTTCCAACTCAACTCCCAGACTGATCTCCAAGTCCAGGTTGCCGCCCAGCACTTCCTGGATGTCCAGGACTGCACCGCGTGGAACGGGCTGCTCCTCAGGCGGCAAGAACTCTTTAGCTTTTGCAATCTCCTCGCGTTCCGCTTCCATAACCTCCGTCGTACAGGCTCGAAGCTTGTCCGTGCAGCGCTCCAACTCCTGCTTGGCTCTCTTCCACTGCTCCTTTGCGGCCTCCATAGCCTTGCGCCCGCGCTGCAAGCGGGCCGCTGCCATCTGGAGGGCCTGCCCAGGTGGCCTGGGCTTGGGCTCGGGGGGAGGTCCTCGCAAGGTGGCCACCAAGGAGTCCACAGCGCGCTTGGTGTCCGCCTCTCCACCTCCGAGCTTGGCCGCCAGGGCGCAGAGTTCCTGCGCAGCATCACCGCCGACAGGAGTAACGCCACTAGGACGGCTAGGGCCAGGCCCCCGAGACTTCTGGAACTTAGCACCGCACTCGCAAGTCCAGTTCTTCGCTTTGAGCCTGTCCTGGAAGAGCCACCGACCACATGTAGAACATTCGACTTGGGCCCTGAACTGGCGCTTCCTCCAAGTGTTGGCTCCCCATGAAGGCGGTGGAGGCGCTGAGCCAGGAAGTGGAGGATACACCATCGGATTCCACCTTTCACCGTAGCCTGAGGCAGGCTGCTGCCTCCACGGCGGTGGGCGTCGAGAAGCATTCGGCGCCATCCACAACCGTACGTGTTCACAAAAGATGGGGACGGACCCCAGTGCAGTACCAGATCTGACTGGTGAAAACGAGTGGGGCCGCTCCTCCCCAATGCCACAACTCTAGTCCCTGAGCCACACACTACGGACTTGAGCCAAAATGGCGGCTACGGATTTTTTTTTATATATATATATATATGTATATATAAATGGCCCAGGACGGCGCACGAGGGGCCCAAGATGACCCAGGCGGGACTCCAGAGGTACCCTCGACGGCCTGAGACCCCTTGATGACTCAAGAAGGCCACAACACGTCCCCACAACGGCCCGAAAAAAAAAACATCTGCATCCGCACAGGAGAGAGAAGAGAGAGAGAGAGAGAGAGAGAGAGAGAGGGGGCGCCCACCGACAGCCGCACACCGAGAGCCGCCCACCGAAATCGGTCGGCTACGTTCGCCAATCTTGTCTACGTATGTCCGCTAGGACCCCTGCAGTGTAAACACTGATTGGGGAATGGGTGGCTTCGTCTGGCACATCTTCAAAAAATACCACCTGTCCTTAATGTGTTTGGCCCTCCTGACTTAGGTCCCCTGCAAAAGGATTAGGGGCGTACTTTTATTGCTTCTCACGGACCCTTTCCCAGGAGCGTGTGCTTCATTCCCATTGCTGGTGAGGGCCCCGGGAGGCCCAAAACATTCGGCAGGGGAAAAAACACAGGCACTAATAATCCTTGATCCCAATGAAAATGTTGAAAACATGGGAGGTGGAGGGGAAGACGAACACCCAGGAAGTATGGGAAATATGGTGAATCCTGGGACTTGTGTCCATGTATTGTTGTGTGCCTGAACCCCCTCAAACAAGAAACGATCGGCGTCCAGCCGTGCGGGGGGCTGCAGCGCAGGGCGCAGCGTGGCCCTTAGTCGGGCGTGTCCCTCGACTGGAGGAGTATGCCAAAATAGTCAAACAAATAGTCGGGGGTCGATTTGTTTTGAGCAGTTTTGGGCTCTGTTTGAGCATCTCTGGGGTTCTGCTTTATTTTTCCTCGAGAATCCGCCTGGTAGGGGGGCATGCCCGACCTAAGGGTAGCCCGCTTTCCCTCCTCCCTGCCTCCCCCTTCTGTGTGTATGCGTCGTTGCAGGGATTAGCATTGAGGATGCGAGAAAGCGAGAGACAGCGAGAGGGAGAGGGAGAGATAGAGATGCAGAGAGAGAGAGAGAGGGAGGCACCGATGCGGCGGTGGCGTCTTCGGTGAGCTCACGGGGAGAGGCTTGGAGGTCGGGCAGGTCAGAATGCACTACATATTCAACAGCAGCCACCCCTCCACCTGGCTGGTGCGGCCTTGGGGTCAGGAGCGCGCGGGCTTCCCCCCGGCCGCTTCTGGGCTACGAGCCCTCCTCCTCCCACTCCGCATCCTCCTCCTCATCCTGTTGTTTTTTGCTCCAAGGGTTCTCAAGGAGCCTGGGCACTTCTACTACACTGAGGGCCATGGTCGCTGGTTTGTGGTGTGCTGTTGAAGTATTGAGATGCATGTGTTGCAGAACTCTGGAAAGGATGCGCAATGCTCGTACTGCGGTCTCTGTTAATTCATGGGTTGATGGTTTCAATACCAGGATAGTTGCTTCACCCAAGTTCGCAGTGGAGCAGCTCGTGGGTGCAGCCAAGATTCTCGAGGACGGCTGCCACGACCTCGACCTCACCACCTCGGCCAAGTCCAACATCTTCAGCTCATCCTCAGGTGTTGGCATCCACGTGGAGCAGAAGCTGAAGGAGCTTGGTCTTCTTGTACCATACGAAGATCGAGTGGTGGATCCTGGTGTTGACCGAGGCTGCATCCGATGTGGGCAGGCGAAACAACAGAAAAGACCTGAGAGGGCCAGGCTTCGTTTCAGCAAGATTGCTAGTGTAGCTCGGGGCGCTTTCTGCCACAGGAGACTCACGACGGCCGCCATCCCCTGTCTTCCTTACGCTGGGAAAGTTTACGGCACGGGGCCTTCCGGAAACATTGTGGGTAGGGGAAGCATGCAGAGATCTCTCAACACGCAGCTCCAGTTTGATGTTGGGCTTTCGGACCCTGTCGTCACCTTTGCGATGGATGTTATCAGGTCTTGGTTATTTCCCTCGCCACGTCCAATGCCAACAAGGATTTTATCAGGAGGACCTGGCGCAGCAGAGTTGCAGACAATCCAGCCAGGCCGCCCAGCATCCGTGCCCACAATGCCAGGGCCATTTGTTCTGCCACACTTTGTCTCCTCCTGCGCTACGCCTGGGAACCTCTCTGGCAATGGCGCTGGAGAACACCCTTTGCCCCGACGGGACTGTTTTTTTGGGCCCCGATCGAAAATCACACGGTCAGGAATTTGATTTTCTTATGACCTTAAGCAGTTGTGTTTCCCCTTTCGATTCAGCGGTCCCTGTGGACTGTTGCCTCTAAAGACTACCTCGGTCAGGGTCTTGAGAAAGGTACCCGTGACATGGGAATCCTCAGCAGTTTCTCGAGGAGCCTGAACCGCAAAGGGGAGTTTGAATTGTCCAGGGTCCACCAAGGGATTGCCGCGGGCAGTGTTTTGCCTGCCCAGCGTGTGCACGATTGTTCTCCTGAGGTGGAACTCCCTGTGCCCCGATGCAAACTGGCCCCTGAGACACCCGAGCATGCTCACTATGAATGCCCGCGTGGCGACAAACTCGAACATATTGCGTCGAATTCTATCATCCAGCACGCTCGACAGGAATGCGACGAGCTGAACTGTTTCTGGCACCGAGGTGTCGTTCCAGGTCACTGGGCGGAAGTGGGCCCCCTCACGAGGAACCCCTTCCCGCTCGACCTTGAGCTCCCGGCGCCATTTTGGCTCAAGATGCTTTGCTCCCTAATAGACACTGTGGGTAACTCTGTTTTGAGGCTTGCTGCCCATTAGTTTCGGGCCTACTGTTGGCTTTCTCCTGAGCGTGTCTGCCCAGTCTCAGGCCGCGTGCTCCAGCCTGTTCGCCCAGGTAGGCCCCATCAGATTGTGAGCTCCTGCAAGAGCGCCGGAGGGTTCAAAGCCCTCTTTGGTGGATGGCGTGGAAATACCGCGCGGCGCGGCGTCAGTCTCGGTCTCGGGGGGGGCAAGGTGCGCTGGGTAACGAGTCCCGTGAACAGAAGCCCTACGACGTGCGTGCGAAGTGTGGGCGCTGGGAGTATCGTTCGTTTGGGACTTGGTGTTGCAGCAAATGTGGTGGCGAGTATGTCTGTAATACTATTCAGGAGGATGGTGGGTCCACCTACTTCTCGAGGTGCTTAGGCAAGCGCTGATGGTCCTTATCGCGTTGCTGTTGCTCTGTTTTACTGTGAGGGACAGGCTCGCCAAGGACGTGGTGCCCGCCGCCAAAGCAGCGCTGGTCGCAGCTCAAGATGTTCAACATCGCAAACAATAAAGGCGCAAAGAACTCAGAATTAGGTTGCGGAGGTCAGCGGGGCGTTGAAGGACAGCGAGAAGGCAGTGACCAGCGCGGCGCCCGAAAAGGCCGGCGCTGATCAGGAGTTGTCAATGTTGCGCGAGGGTTCGCGGGCTGAGCGCAAAAAGACCAGGCGGCGCGAGGCGGCTGCAGCGGCTGCCCAGCAACTGGCTCAATCGTTCCTGTCCCAGGTGATGTGGGTCAAGGAGTACGCGGTGCAAGGAAGACTTCCTGGCGCTTCGTCGGGCTCCGCCTCTGGAGCCCTCCGTCTTTCCATCGGTGCGGGTGGCGCGCTTGATTTCTATCGCGCAGGAAGATGCTGCCATTCGCGGGCGGGGGGAACGATGCCAGCTTTCAACCGTAGTCGCGCAGCAGTTCTTGTCCATGGCTACGAAGATCATATCGCAGGAAGTGGGCGATGCCAGTGGCGATAGCAGCGCAGATGGCAGCGACGCCGGAGGTGAAGGGGGGGGCCAGGCTCTCACCCCCGATGAGCAAGCAGTTCAGGATGGAGGCCCTCGCGTCGGCAAAGACCAAATTGCGCACTGCTCACAAGTTGGGCATGGCCACAGAGGTGGTGTCCAGCGACTTCAAAACCCTGGCGTCAAGTGCGGTTGCTGGGCTGCGGGGGCAGTCGTTTTGGCGCCAGGGCCCGCGGACTCAGATTTTCCTCGCGGCGTGACAAGATGGAGTGATTTGTCAAAGGGTTCGTTCTTCAACTGCGCGCCAAAGCTGGCGCCTTTTTCGGCGCCCGGAGCCGCCCGCCCCCCCGCCGACTTGAAGCTGCCGAGAGGGGGCGCGCCGCGATTGAATGGCGCCGCCAGCCTGTCCTGCGAAAGCTACCCCTGTGGGATGGGCTCGCGGTGGGGGCGGGCGCGCGTCGCTGGAGGTCTGCGTCCCATGGCGTTTGCGCCGAGCGATGTTGGGGTCATAGATTTTGGAACAGGCACTGGTGGATGCGCGCTAGGCGCGGGCGTCGCCGACGTGACTGCGGGACTGGAAGCCGCCGAAGCAGATTTGACCAACGCGGAAGAGATTGCGGCGCCCATCTATGAGGCCCTCGGCCATGAGGGTTCTCGTGGGCGGTTCTCATTTTGATATTGAGCAGTGGGAGTGCGATCCCGCCTGCTGGAGTTATTTCCGCGTGTATTCACGCGGCGTGGGACGTCGACCAGCTGCGCGGTGGTCGCTGAAGACCTTGCCCCGCATTCGCGTGCTACCTAGTGCGAGGCGTCGTCTTGCAAGGCCCGTTGATCTGCGCGAGGGGACCTGCCGCGTGCGGCTGTTGTTCAGGATCGGTGGAAGACGTTAAAACCCTGCCACTTTTTTCGTGTTCGAGGGGCCCGACTTGCCAGTGTCTCGGCATGCTCGTATTCTATTTCGCGATGGATTTGGGCCCGTTGGCAATGTCCAAACGGAAGTGACACCGCGCATTCGCGCGCGCCTGCCTGCTGGCCTCGCTCGTGCTTCATTGTTTTGGCTTAAGTGCATAGAGAGTATGTTGCTCGGCATGTCCGTTATGCCCGCCGGCGAGGTTGGCCTGTGCGGGGGGGGGGCTTCGCGACGTCCACTAGCTCGTCCGCGGCCGCTCGGCGTAGCAATGGAACACGTCTAAGGTTGTGTCTCTGGTCGCACGTGCCCCAGTGTCAGGGCGAGTTGAAAGTTGGCGAGTCTCATGGTGGGTTTTCCCGCGTCGCTGCTGATCTCGGGCGGCGACTCAGCGCGCTCTGCGCGCGAGGTCCTTATTATTCCAGCGGGCTTCCTGCCCCCGAGTACTGTTCCCAGTGGCTGGCTAGGCTCGTTGCCATCGTTTTGCCTGATCTTCTGAGTTGCGAAGCCTCGATCCCCGCGCGCCGGGAGACGCTCGTTCGCGTCTGGGGCGGCGCTCGGAAGAGCTCAGCCCAAGCGATCACATGCCGTTAAGCCGCTTCCTCGGTAAGCTAAGCAGACCTGCCGCTGGCTCCAGCGGGGCCAAGGGTAGACCCTCGAGCCCTCGAGCACTTCGTCGTCCCTGTAATGGGCCCGCCAGCTGCCGGGCGATGCGACGACGACGATCTCGCTGCTGCCAAGAAGCAAGGTTGACCCCAGTTCGTAAGTGCCCGACGCCACTTGCGGCTTACATTGGAATCATGGGGGTCTGCGTGAAATGGGCGGTCGCGTGACCACGTGCAGCTATGGGGTGCGGCCATTTGGCGCAGCTCAGCCCATCAGGCAGCATTGCAGAGAGAGCCAGGACATGATCTTGCTGCCTTCGAGGGGCTGCTCTCCGCGACCCGCGCTACCTGGTGCTATCTGCCTTGTCACGCTGCTCCGACTCGTCCGTCGACGCCAGTTTTCCTTTTCGCCTTATGCATGTGGACTAGCTGATCCATGTGGCCCACGGGATGTTGGAACCTATGTTTGGTGTTCGGATTCCATCGGCTCTAGGAGTGGATCTGTTCCCGGCACTTCCCTCGGCGCCCCCTGGACTAGAACGCATGCGCATTAGGTGGTGAATGACTTGCACGACAGGTTTCTTCCGGAGGTGGTTACTCGTGAGTACGTGGGCGACCTTTCTCGGGATGTTCATGGCGCTGGCGGCTGGATCATCGGCCCCCTTTTTCTAGCTTGCGTCGCGCATGAGTGGGGAGGCACTGCGGACGCGCTTCGAGATGGCTGCCAAGTCCGTTGTTGTTTCAAACAAGCGCGCCTTGTCTTTCAGGTCGCCCGTGGCCTGGCGGCCGCCGGGGCCGGCGTCGAAGTTCAGGGCGCCGTTCGCGATTTAGGCTCTGATGCGACGGCGGGTGGAGCCCGGGGACTTGCGCTAGCACCTTGTCGGGGCCGTTCGACGTTGACGAACGCGCCCCCGTGCCCCGTCTGAGGCGTGAGCAACTTCTTGGTTTTAGGCAGTTGTGGCTGGAGTTGACGCGCAAGGAGA